TGAAATGTATCGCAGGCTTCTATTTGGGTGAAATGTTCTTAGCTGACTTTTCTACGTGGATGAAATACAGGAGCGGCCGTGCACGCGTTGTATAAAGCGCAACATAGGCCACTTGTGTCATGACGAACCCAGGGAGCCTTCAAAGCGGGCGCGGAGCGAACACGAGCATTCGACTGCTGAAGAGGAGGGTCATTCGAACAATGAGTTTTCAAATGTTCAAAGCATGCCTCGAAACGTTGATGTTCAAGATGCTGCCGGACAGCAAATCCTTCCCGATGGGACTATCGCCCTTCCCCCTTCGTCTGTCAGTGCTGTGCAGCATAACAACATCCCCTCCTCCTCTGCGCAAAACAGCATAGGCCACAACTCCCAACAACGTAAGTTCTAAGGCGGCTGCCTCTATTTTTTGACTGGTGCTAATGATAGGACAGTGCTGGGCTACAACGACTGGCTCGGAGGCCAAAGCCAATTTCAGGATATGCACACCTTCCACCCGTCCTACATGTTCAATGCCCCGGAAGTCACGAACGAATACAACCTCCTGGGAGACTTTCTCAGCAGCAGCCTTCTAGATGACGGGGGGATGTTCCCGAACGATAATCTACAAGGGATATACTCCGATCCAACGTTGATCAATTCAATGGCCAATCTGGATAATACGGCTTTACTGCAGCAAGCTCAGCCTCCTCAGCCAACGCAGAGTCAACCACCTCAGAATGATTCGGTTCAAGGTCCAAGCTCCACAGTGGTGAACGATAAGGCAAGAGAGACTTATTATATGACTGCGGCGGATCCGTCAGGCTCAGACCCACCAGAAGAACGGATGAATAAGCTTCTCAAGGCGAAATACGATGCTGGTCTTCTGAAACCTTTCAACTATGTGAAAGGCTACGCTCGCTTGAACCAGTATATGGAGAAGAACATGAAGCAGTCATCTCGGCAGAAGATTTTGCGGCAGCTGGACAAATTCCGGCCTAAATTTAGGGAGAGAATGCAAAGCCTAACCGATATCGAGCTCATTCTCGTGGAAATGTGGTTCGAACGAAGTCTGATGGAATATGACCGTGTCTTTGCCAGCATGGCGATTCCCGCCTGCTGCTGGAGGCGGACGGGGGAGATCTTCCGCGGCAACAAGGAGATGGCAGAACTTATTGGCGTGCCAATAGAGAGTCTGCGAGATGGCAAGCTGGCAATCCACGAGATCATTGTAGAGGATCAGCTCGTGAGCTACTGGGAAAAATTCGGTGCTATTGCATTCGACAACACTCAGAAGGCAATGCTCACAAGCTGCACACTAAAGAATCCGAATTCGAGTAATCCAGGGAATGGTATTCCATGTTGCTTCTCTTTCACAATTCGGAGGGACAATCATAATATGTGAGTGTCAAGAACATTCGTTGCAAGCCTGAAAATTTGCTGACAGTACACCTAGTCCCTCACTCATCATTGGCAACTTCTTACCGTCACAACGCAGAAGCAAATGATTGTTATCTGGAATTGAAAATGGGCCAATCTACGGGCGTATTAAGGGGACCCAGGCTTTGTTGTTGGACTGTTCCGGTACATAGTTCTCGCGCTCGTCCTTTTTCTTATTCTCTTCTCTTTTGGCTCTTGGACCCGTCCATATCAGTGCTGCTAGAGAACGTTGTTCGATATCCTTTCTGTACGTTTGCACGGGTATCAAGAAAAATGATGTTACATATCCCTCAAAGTTTTTCGAGGAACTAATTGTATTGATTGAGTGTCGGAGTGGTTATATATCCTATGCTGTCATGTCTATGTGTCTTGATCTTTGTCTCTGGACTAGTCCAGTCAGGTGAACGCCAGTTTCCTAGGCCAGCGATAGTATCATCCAGCAACTGCGGTCTTGCAACCAGATTTCTACTCAATATATACCGTCAGGTTCTTAGTAGAAGTGCTGCTTCTCATCATCCAAGTGGCATAGTCAAGACTCCAACCGTCCAACTACAGTAGCAACCGTTGTGATACGGGAACAATGTCATCCAAGGATCTTGAAGAACGTTCACTCAATGTCCTAGGTAAGACCGCAATATAATCTCACCCCATGCTCTCTTCATCCATGATCGCTAATTATTCATCATCCATCAGCCCTCGCTACGCAAATACAAACTTGGCTCTCTAACGCAAGCACCTCTGAACAATCCCAGATAGCGGATACCTCAGTCGAACTCCTTGACAACTATCTCGGTGATATACCCTTGTTCACAGCGGTACCCTCATCAACCATTCGTCGTCAATTGGATACTGAAGGGACGAAGCTATGGAATGCATGCACGCAACTCATGGCAATATCTGCTGACAATTGCGAGGTAAGGCTACTGAGTAAAGGTTTGACAACTTCACAATTTGCTTCTTCGGCAGCAATTCTAACCATCGCAGTGAAAGCTCTTGCTTTTGTAATGCTGGATTGTGCCACGTCTGCCCCCAATCAAGGTATGAGTCCACCTGCGTGAATGAGTGACGGTTTCTGAAGGCTTTCCCCAGAAAACAGCCGAAGCTTCGAGCTAGCTTTGAGAGCAGCACGTACTTGTATGGGTAAGTCTAATCTATCCATTACGAAATTCCGATACTGATGATGACATTCAACACAGATCAGGGACAGTTGGATTTGAGCCAGAAGATCATCAGTGTAGCGGCGACTCGCTTGAACGATATGTCTCCAAACCGGAGCAGCCACTACGGAGCAAAAGTAGAAGCCTACATGACTGAATACTACATGCTGCGCATCTACTTGGTAATGAGCATTTCACACATAATATTCACATAGCTGACTTTGATGACATAGTCCTGCCTGCAAGGTAGATCCGATATTGCAGAGCATTTATTTTCCAAGGTCCCGCAAGCGAGCCGAGGCGGACATCAAGAGACTGTTATGGATATTTGTTATCAAGTTGGGGCACAGGCAATCTCACGTCGCCAGCTTGATGTGGCAGCTCGATGGCTTGAAAGAGCTTTGAGCTCAAGCGAGCTTCTTCAGGAGCAAACCCAACAAATCGATTCGGACCTGAAGGATAAGAGGCTCCGGGTCTTGATCGCTTTGGGTAAGTTGCCATGAGGCTATGGGCTTTTCGAGTGAGCTAATGCTTGCAGCTTGGGTTAGTCTTCATCTCGACACGGCAGATGCAAATCGTGGTCTCGACAGGGCAGTAGCGTCTTTGAAAAGTGTAAGATGAAGAATAACGTATCATACTGCTGCTGACAATTTGCAGGACTACGATGATGCTTTTGAAGCCCAACTTCTTCAACTCGAGATTCTCAGCAAGAAGAACATTTCTGACTACGATGAATATGCTGAAAGTAAGAAGACGACCCTATCCTGAATGTGTGCCACCACTCATACAATCTTTCAGTCCTTCGATGCTCCATTGCCGCTCTGGAGCTCAACGATGCTGATCTAAAGACGTACGTTTCTTTCCTTACTCTGGCATACTAATCGTCTAAGGAGAAACAGTATCCTATACTTCATCCATAAGCTCAGGGAATCCAGGTAAGATCCCATGTATTGTTCTCTGACATATTGGTATTGACAAGGAAGGCCCCAGCTCTTCCTGGAAAGGATCAAGCAGCTGTTGTGTGACAAGCTTGCTGTTTCAGACAAAAGAGCATGGACAGAGCGCGTCTTCATCAGCCTCGTTTGGGCATTGACTGAATCTTATCCTTGTGCTGTCGACTGCATCGCCGTCATGCAAGATGTGACTCAAAGTCTCCTTGAGTTTGGATGCCAATCTCTGAGCGAAGGGACAACCAATGCTTGCTTGATTGTGAACCCATGTAGAACTGGCGTACACTTGCAATTGCTGACTTTTGACGCAGCTGGTCTGGAAGCACATCGATGTAGCGATATCTAAGCGAGACATATCACACGTAGAGCGATGCTGTGAATTTCTCCTCGAACAGCCCCTATTCCAAATATCCTCAGACAGTAAAGGCAAAATTCTAAGGTAGGCATTCTTGTGGCCGGGCAGCGTTCTATGCAAGGAGATTACTCAACGAGGTCTTAACAGGAAGCTGATCTCCTGCTCCCGAGATGATCCAAGCTCACTTGAGGCGCATAAAATCATTGTTAGACACCTCAAAGAATGCAAAACCTCAGCATCTACCCTGTACATGCTGTATGGGGCAGCTTTACGGGTTGGTGACTATACTCTTGGTATGTCTGGAGAGCGTTCTATACTGTCAAATATCTAACCGGACCCAGGGCAAACATGTCTTAGGTCCTTGAGCGAGCTAAAGCAAGAGGGAAAGATATATCTTCCTTCATGTGCTGCAGAGGCTCGACGCTCGGGAAATACTCGATTTACGATCGAATGTCTTCAGCAGCTTATAGCAGGCATGGATGGCGATTCGCTTGGAGAAGTACCTGGCTCAACACTGTTCCAGTATGTGTACCCGTCTTTCGCAAATGGTCACTGAGCTAATTCATTGCATAATTCTGCTTTCTCAACTCTTGGAATCAGACGACGGCGACAATGCGGCTTCAATAGCCCATCTCATATCCACATTTGAAGAAGGTGAGCTTCAGCGCAATCCATAGGATGTCGAATACTAAGCCGAAATAGCTTTGAAACGTGCCAACAACGAAGGGAGATTGCCACTCTACTCAGCCAGTGAACTAGAATGGTTTGCGAGGAAGAGCTACAACATAGCCCTTGACATACATAAAACCTCCCCTTCAGCAACTGTCCTACACCTCTTAGACATATCCCTCGAGGTAACCTCAACATGGAGAACGATACTATATCCTCTAACATCGGCATAGTTCACAGACCTATACCATAAAAAGACCGGAACCAAAGACCGAGTCTTTATGTATCTCCTTGGCGAGTACGTCAAATCCAACAAATTGATAGCGGATGCCCGTGTCCATACTCCCTCATCTGCGAAGGTCGTATTTCAAGCCATCTGTTTGAGACACGCCGGACTGACAAGAACAGGTCTACAAGCAAATCCGCCAATCCGTACAGCGCTTCGAAACCCACATGCAAGCTCAACTTGATACATGCAACACCACACCCGAACGTGGGGTATGGACGCATAAGTACCGTCTCCTTCTCGCCTTGGACTTCGAAGCAGCCATCAATCTCAAACAGTGGAACGACATCCCGAGCATAATCGACAGAGCCAGCAATATGCTCAACGACAAGCTCTGCTCCGCATTCCTAGACTGTATCCTCCGCTCTGGGGCGCCAGCTCCCAACATCGCACAGGTCGTCAAGGTACCTCCCCACAATCCATCAAAGCAACCTCTTGTATGTCAGGACTAAATCTAACAAATGCACAGGATATAATCTGCATCTTCCACTCCTCGCCGTCTCCATCCTTCAGCGCTGGGGCCTTCCACCAGAAACTTCCCCGGTATCTACGGTGCCTGTTTCAAATAGCCCTGGAGGCGAAAGACTACTCGCTGGCAGAGTCAGTCCTTCACCAAGCTATCGTTCTAGCTCGGGATGGCTCAGCAGACACAGACTTGCCGTTTGTATATCCGAGCGACGAGCTCAAATGGCTGGCAACCATGGCTTTCAATAGAGCGGTCGATTTATATATTGCCTCGGCTGATGAGGACTGTCGAAAATGGGGAGAGATTGCTTTTACACTGGCTGATTTGATAAAGGATGATGGCGGTGCGCTGCTGAGAATGCTGCGGCAAAACTATGCCAAACTTATGTGAGTTATGGTTCGATGTTTACTCGCTTATATATTACGCTACGGGAGTCGTCACAATTCGATTATATACTTAGGCTTGAAGAGGTCCAAAGAAAGTCCGGACCATAGGGCCAGTTAGGAAATTCTTCGTAAATTGCTTCCAGTGTCTGTCTGATTCGCCACTATCGATAAATAAGATGCAAAAGATTGTGATAAATCCAACCTCAAACTCCATCGATATTTTGCTGTAGCTAACAGCAAGACCGAAAATGAATCACAGCATGCAATGGGCAGTAAGGGTGATATGCCATGTTGAACAAAAACTATGCGATTGACCCAGAATAGGACCGCTGGCGAATGTGGAAGAAATAAAGAGAACAGATGAATGCATGAAAAGTGCAAGACACTGGAACTAACGAATCCGCTATTCGCTCGAATTTTCACCATTATCATTAGAACATACAATTCTCGAGCGGTTATATGTGCCGTTTGGGCGCAAACTTGGAGCCGACTGCATCCGATGTGGACTTTGTAAGGAATTTTGATTTCTGTCATTTTCCTTTCCGCTGCTGTCGGTCTCGGTTTCAGCATTTCCACAACCTCTAGGTCGAGCAGCCAGGACTCGAAGTGTTAGATCCAGTTCGCGCTGCAGTTCCTTCTGGGAGTGGAGATGCTCTGTGGAGGTATTCAATTTTTTCCGGTAAGCCTTCAATGTGCGGCAAACCTGCTCCGTACATGAATTTAGACTTCCAGATTCGCTCTTGGACAAGTTTCTGCTACGGGAGCGGAAGTCCAGTGATATGCGACGAGAATGATTGTTTGTGTTGCTGAGCTTTTTACCAGGTGTGGATCTTCTGGTTGGGGATGGAGACTTGCGCAACTTCTGAAGGCGAGAGTGCGAAGGGGGAGAGCGACGGTCAGACCTTGAGAAAGGAGAAGGCGTAGCCGGTGCTGATTTTTCATTCTTCAAGGAAGAGGGTGTGAGGGAGATTTTGGAAATTTTGCGAGCCAGTGACTGTGAGGAGTCCCGCACAGGAGTTGGGGTTCCTGTGATGTTGTCTTGCCGCTGGAATCCAGCAAGCTCGTGTTTGGATAGAATCTTGCGCAGAGGCGGCTTGGAGACCGTCGATTTTTTCGGCGCACTGTCGACTTCTTCTTCTGACAGATTGGTTTGGGTATAATCCGGAGATTGCTGTGGTTGCACCAGTAAATCCCATATCATGACGACACCGTCAATACCAGCGCTAACCAGAGTCCGACTAGGAGGTTTCCCACTGCAGTCAGAATCTCTGGTCAGCAAGCATACATCGCTCACGCCTTCGGCATGCCCGAACTCGGCAGTAAGAAGCGCTTCGCGTTCCATATCGTACACGCGAATTGATTTGTCCGTGCTTGCGACTCCCATAAGCAACGTGGGACATTTTCCTGGAATGTGGGAAGCCATGCTCAGGGCAGTCATGACCACTGTGTCGCTTGAATCCGAATCGGTGGTTCGGAAAGAGCGAATGTGCTTCCCTGAATCGAGATCATACTGTTGTATACAACGATCAACAGTGGATATGATGAGAATATTTGGGTCTTCTGTAGATAGAGTCATGGAAACCGGAGATACCTTAAGCGTGACAGCCCTGGATGCCAGATACGCAACAGCTGTCTCTCCGCTGGTTTCTCGAGTCATGCGTTCTCGAATGAACACGGTGCGATCTGAGGAGCACGAGAGAAGCTTCTCGCCGTTCTTGATGAAGAGTAGCTGATTTACTGACCCGACGTGATCATCCATGGTCTGCACAAGTTCCAGGCTTTCTTCAGTGCTACGGAAAAGCTGAACCATGCGATCTCGACCAGAACTGGCAATGAGACAGGAGTCGGAGTCCACGTGAAGGGCCACATCAGTGACCTCTGCCTCGTGAGCCCGAATCTGATTGACACATTTCCATGACTGTCCCGAAAGGACCCTAAGCTCAAGTCAACGTTTCACTTCCCTATGTTTTCTGTTTCAATGGAAGGAGTGGTTAAATACCTCAAAACACCCATTTTGTCTCCCGACACGAACAACTTCAAATCTTCAGTCGCCCTCAAGATTTTCAAGTCATTTATTTGACTTTCATCACTGCCCAAAGGCTGCTCTACCGTGACTGTCCTAGAGTCCTTACACCTGCCCGTTGTATCCCAGAATTTCACGGTCCCGTTGGCCGACCACGTGAAAAAGTTGGCTTGGAGTTCGTTGTGGTCTGGTAACGGAGAAATGCCGAGGACCGCATCTCTATGAGCGGCAATCGCAAGTGCTCTCTCGCAATCATTACTTATTGACTCTACCAGATGGATCTGGATTTCTTTGTTGGAATTGACAGACACTAGATGTGATCCGAGGGATCCCATACAAGTGATCGCAGGTCCCTTGGTCTTCTTACTCGCTGAGGTTCGACCAGAAGGCTCTGGCGAAATTGGGCTCGACGGCCGAAGTGACTCCAATGAGAACTTCTGCATTCTCTTTTCCCGACCACCGACCCAGAGGTAACCATGATCTGGATCAATGGTCAAAGAGGAGATGCCGAACCCCACGTACTTGATCAGGGATAGTTTTGGAGATACCTCGCTATCGTCCAGGAGGCAGAGAGCACCGTCCTCGGTGCCTACTACAGCTTCACTGTCTGATATGCCTGCGACACAGGTGAACACGCAAGTTCCGAAAGACCCGAGGAGACAGTTTCGTCCCGAAAGCGCTTTCGGGGCCAGGCTGGGGGAGCTAATGGCCGGATCCGCATTCAGGCGGGACTTCGATGGCGACACGGGTCTTGTTTCTGGGAGACGCCATACCTTCACATGTCGAACTCCGACGCTGCCGCCTTAGTTAGTCTTGCTACCGGTAACGGGCAGGGATTGATCCAATAACATACGTGACAAGACTCTGTCCCGTCCAGCCCATGTGGCGAACAATGTTGATGCACTTATTTGTCGAATGTAGCCTGGCCGATCCGGTCTTCAGACTTACAGCCCATACGAAGAGAAAACCGTCATTCACCTCTCCGAGGGTGGCAAGGTACTGGGAGTTAGGGCTGAAGGAGACGCTGCGAACGCCGACGGTGTGCTCGGTGAGAATTGACAGAGGAACCTCCGGAGATGCGTCTTTCGCCGTAGAGAAGATCAAGACTCGAGGGTTATATCCAGTCTGTTTTCCAGGTTAGCTGACTACCCACGCTCTTCACTTGTGTACAGAAAATGCCACCCACCTCTCCTACAGCAAGGAATCTTCCATTTGGGCTGATTGACACACTGGTAACCGCCTTTATCTTTTCCCTCGACGACCAAGACCGCGGGCTGTTAGTCTCGGTCAGGTCGCTAGACGGAGATCCATTGTGGGTGTTATTGTGCGCATTTGCTCTGATGTTGGATATCGATTTTGCTCTCGTATCGGGCGTCGATGGAGGTGTGGATTGGTTGTAAAAAGACGTAACGGGATTGATGCTGCTCGCGGAGGGTCGTGCTTTGAAAAAGCGCTGGTTTACATTGTTTTCATCGTCCAGCTCTGCTAGGATGGCCGCCGAACCGGCGCATAGCGCAAACGATCTGCTTTGATCGTGGCTTGAGAAGCCGTTCGGGTCCGTCGTAGTCGTGCCGATAACCGTCCGGAGGGAAAGGGTGGATTGGTGCAAGGAGGTCTTGTTAGGTGACCGGGGAGCTCTTAGACCAGGCGAATTGGAAGGAGTGATGCGTAGGGAAGAACCCGGCCCAGCATTCTTGCTTTTGACCGTCAATGAACCACTCGCCATCCCATTCAAAAGCCGAATTCAGATTGCGAATATTCACGTTCCCCCAAGGGTGCTAGAAAGCCCGGGTTGCATTTGTCGTGACGCCAGGATCACCTGTCAAAGCTAATCCGTACTGTCAACGGAAGCATCCAGTAGATATACCCTTATCAGTCGTGCTTGTAAGCGAATTCCGATAACGATCGAGTAAAGCGATAGTTTGCTGAGGGTCAAATTGTGTTAGAATGGGATATAGCAAAAGAGTTGCCTGGCGATCACCACAGCTTTAAGTTCAGCTGAATGAAGAGTGGTGGAAAAGAATGAACAAGAGTGATCAGTAGGTCGAGAAAGAGCGTGGGCCTAGAGAGAGGAAAACAAATCACAATGCGTATTCAAAGGAGTGACACAGACAAAGAGAAGAAGTACGAGAAGAAAAAGAAAAGGTTTAGTGATAGGGATAAAGCAGGAGTAAATACGCCCGTCCACACAGTGCACACACACACTGTCAAGGAGGGGAGCTCCGGCTCGAGTCCATTAGCAGCACATTCCAGTGATCCCTCCAGCAGAAAATGGATGGGCGAATGGGAATGTGGGTATGACACAGTGACAAGCAGTTCCCCAAGCCCTGACCTTGGAAGACTGACATCTCATATGATCATTGAACTTTCAGTCCTGAAGTTGATTCCTTCGGGCATCTTAGTTTGTCGTCTAATCCTGAAAGTAGACTAGGTTGGTTCTAAAGCTCTATAGGTTCGTAGATTGGCGCGGGAACCATCAAGATAGCTGCGGTGATCTACACTAACTAATCTGAGCTGTGGAAATGACCTCTCCTCACTTCACTTTCATTGTCAATGAGAGTTGATGGCAATTATCGGAATCCATGTACATCTAGAGATCCTCAATCACATACATTACCCACTCGCATAAAAGTCAATTTTCCAGGGACCCCGGATAATGCTGCCATCAAGACAAGGTTAGCCTAAGGCTTCCAGGGTTCCAAGCTCAAAACAGTCCCAAGACTGCCTTCTACCGCCTTTACCCAGCCCCTATGCATTTGATAGCATTGAGCTTCACACAAGAATAGTTAACACTCATAGTGTATATATAAGGATTGCTCTAGCAATTATTATCATGTTTACTCCTACTTCTCAAATGCTCTAGTGCTGGCCTGCATGAGACTCCACTGTCTATTCTGTGTAGGCATACACGCGCTGGACAGTCACATGATTCCATAGTTGCCTCAGGCCATAATAATATTTGTTCTAGGCCGAAATCTTGA